CACACATACGGGTGTGCACATACACGTACAAAGTTCCCAGCAGCTCCACCCCAACCTCTTACTCCCCACCATCAGCACACAGACCCAATTGCCCGGAAACAAGGAGTGAAACAAGAGCGACAGAGGGAGAGAGAGAGACGAGCAAGGAAAGAAGAACAGAGCAGCGACAGGGGAATGAACTAAAACGGCCTGAGGAAGTGGAGATAAATAAGTAGAGGAGTGAGTGGGCGGGTGAATGGGGACTCCTCCAGCTGACAACAGAGATTGGGGGAGTAAGGTCTGTTTGGTTCGGTGTATTTTACACACTCCGTGTCATGTAGTGTTTGTAGATTGCGGTACTATTGAGAAACTCGTCACTGTAGAGACACCCCAAATAAAAGATTTCACTTGTACCAGGTTCACAACTCACATATGTAATAAGAAATCATGGCAAAGTTTCACGTGTAAATGCAGTTTATAGCACTGAAAGACGACAAGGAGACCCTGAAGGGATGAGGGAAAGCTTTGCAGCATTATTTTGCTTTTCTGACTCAAAAATTATGATACTAAGTACTATGCAAATCAACGGTGTCCAAAGTTTTGAGCAGAATCAGATAAGTCAAAGCAGGGAAAAAGCTGCAGGACAGTGGATTTGGAGGCCTGGATTTGGAGGACCCTGATATAAATTGTGCAGCTGACTTCTGCAAGTTGTCGCCATAGCAAAAGTGTGGGTTCAGCTTTGAGTGTTCAATGGCAAATCTATATTACTGTCAATAGTCAGTTAACAAAACTCCCTTCCCTGTGTCATTAGGCTGAGAACTGACTGCTGTTGCGGCTAATCGAGACAGGCTGCAGTTGTGATTAGAACCGCGGCCACAGAATGACATGCCTGTCACTCTGATTGTGGCAGTAGCTCTTTGGTTGTTGTGACTTTGACTATGACACTTTACAGCACTTAAAAGACTAACGACATGCTGTGACTGTGTGTGCACTGAAATCACATGATTTTGCTTGAGTGCTGTGTTGAACCTTCTGTATGTTATACCTCATTTTATGTGCAGATTTGATATTTGTCATGTTAGAAGCAGTGCTCACTCGAACGAGTATTATCATGTAGATTTAGTTTATGTCATGAGCCCCACGTGATGAGAAGCAACGTTAAACCTGCTTTTGAGGTAGACGTAGGTCGTCATATTTTCAAATACAAAATTAGCTGTCATTCTAGCTATAACTGTACAAAAGTCTCAGTCAGACGAGTTTCATGACAGCACCACTATTTGCTGTTAAAAGAGAAAAACGTAATGCAAACATGCAATAACAGATTTGTGATAAATAAATAGATCTAACCAGCCTCTCACATTCTTGTGAAATGTTCCGTACATCTACAAAGTTGGATGACAAAATGCACTGATAACATTGATAAAGACAGTGGTGTCTGTTCACATTCCAGGCCTGTCACAATGATGACACCTCAGATCTTTGCCCCTCTTGTGTCACTGTTTGAAGCTCCATCTTTCTGTATCTCTCTACCTCTGTTTACGTTCTCTTCTCTCACTCTGTGGTAATTAGTGCGCTAGTCCTATCATTGGCATCACCGGCAGCTACAGCAGCAGCCAGCAGAGCTTCTTGTCACAGCTCACAAGGCCAGTGGAGTGGACAGCTCAACCCTGGTACTCGTCATCTTTATACTGTGCCCCGCCACTGTCCCCCCAGCTACATTATCTAGCTATGCTATCCAGCCATGCTACTAATTATTTTCCAACCCCAGCCATAGCCCTTTCACCCAGTCTCTGCCACATAATAAAGCCCTGCTTGTAATCATCACTCTGAGCCACGCTTCAGACTCTCTACACAGCCCAAAGCCTCATCATTAACATAACCCTTTTTTTCTATTTCTAGACTACTGCTCTTTGGCTCTTTGACCATCACAACTCTTGGCAAGTGTGTACACTGCACCCCCAGTCCAAAGCAAGCCCTAGAAATAACCCGTGACTCCTGGACGTTTATTTACCTTAGCCATCTGGGTCACAGTAAGACAGTCTGTCAGAACAAATGTAGCTTAGCCTATCAAGTCCTCACAGAATCTCACATGTAGCCATTCCAACCTCTGCTGGACCTTAGTGTACTGTCTTAGGTTAAGGGTTACTCTGAAAAGGTTTTTGGCCCATGCTGTTTGTGCCCTTACCCTCACTGCTGACGTTCACCGCTGAACAGTAACTTTATTTACCTCAGACATTTCTTCAGTACCTTTGTCCTTCACTCATTTCACATCTCTAATCTTACTTTTTTTATGAACTTCTGCAACACCAGCAGAAATCTGAGCTCTTCTTGAGAAGTACAGACTTTATATCCATTGACCTTCTCATTCAACGCAAAAATACTGGTCATACCCCTTCAGCTAAGCTGAGAAAAACCTCAAACTCATAAAAAAAGGCTGGCAAAGGAGAGGGAAACTTGACTTGAATATGGTGAAACACAGATTAAGAGATAATCATTTACTTGAAACTGGAACAAATATAGACACAGATAATGGTAAAGTGAATGCCAGCAGTATTTAATAAACTGTTGTATACTAGCAGTAGAATTCCATCGTGAGATAGAATACTGTACATTTCTAGCTAATGACTAATTGCATATGCAGATATGGGAAAGCCCCCTTTGTTTATGCTAATTTTGTGGTTGTGTTATTAGCAATGTCACCAGCGGTTCTGCCTGTAACCATAGAGGAAAGCTAATTAGGAGGCTACTTGCTAATCAAGAACACAACAGTGAGTGGTCACGTCTGTGTCTTTGTGCGCTCGAAGCCTTTCTTTCCCCTCACATTAGACTGACATCCATCACAACTCTTCAAAGACAGCATCTGATCAGATCCATCTCACACTAACACAGCACACACATTTGCTTAAGTATAATTTCTTACTTGAACACAAACACACAAAGATTTAAAAGCACAGTCCATGTATTATCTGAAGTGTGTCTGGAAACCACCATGTGTTGCTATGATGCAACCAATGTATAAATGATCTTTTTAATGGACAGAATATTCATTAGCAATTAATACATCTACTGAAATAGGCCACAATTAGACAATTGAATCTGGAGAAGAATGGGCAGCAAATGCACAGACTCATATGTCCAGATTTTATGTGGCATTTAATATATATGTATTCCTTATGTGTTGAGTCAATATGTCTATCCGTCTCTGTCGCATTAATATCCGTTCTTACAGTGAAAAAGACAGAATGCTAATTCTCCATAACCATTTTACAGCATGTGTAAAACTCTGCACACCCTTCATTTGCACAGCCATAAAACATTCCCCCTGTCACAGTCCATCCCACTCTGGACGCCAGATTCATCTGTTAACCCAACACTTTGCTTCCATTACAGTGGCTTTTTGCACTCTGAGGCCTGTGTACAGAGAACCAATAAGGGCCAAGTGCACGACATGATGTTAAATGGGTAGTCTCAAATAATTAGTGGTCTTTTTTTGTAACTTCAGAGAATAAATAACATCACGTTAGTTATGTTCAAACCTGAACATGGCTTAGCCAGATATTGAGGGTCAACTCACCCTTTTCACCACCTTTTTATACTCAGTTTCATGATTTCTGTCTCTTTATGTAAGCCAATAAATTGAACTATTCAGCAAGTTATTGCTCAAAATGTTTCTGCTTCTGTCTCGAGTTTGATATAGGCTTAGAGTTACCACTTTATTGTTTCTACAAAACTTCTACAAATGACTTGACAGTGAAGAATGGAGAGATCATTGTACCCATGAAAAATGCTATATTTTTGGGATGCTTGGTTGTCCAGTGGTGGAAGCATATACCACATTGCCATGATTGC